AGGCGGCGGGTAGAGGCGAAGTCAGCGACAGCAGCGACAAGCGCGTCAAGGCGCGAGACAGGAACAGAAGGGTCGGTAACAAGAGAGGCAAGGACCCGAGGGACAAGGGGACGAGCAGCACGGAGGTAGTCAGAGAATGGAGGAGGTGCAACAGCAAGGGACGAGGGAGGAGGGGACGGGAGGAGGGGAGGACGAGACGAGCGGGAACGGAGCAACATAGGGTGGGTGGGCAGGACAGGAGAGACGGGACGAGCACGGGAGGGACGGCGAGCCCAAACGTGAGACGGAGGTGTAGGGTCAGGGGACAGCGGAGGAGACACAGGAGGGGAACGAGGAGGAAGACGGGCCGGAGACGAGTCTGGCGGCGGGAACACAAGACCGTAGACAGGAAGGTTAGCAGGCGGTGGGGGAGACACCGTCGCGCGGTCCGGGGAGGGAAGGCCGAGCAGGCGGAGAGCGGAGACCGGCGGCGACGGCTGCTGCGGCGGCGACGACGGCTGGGCCGGAACTCTCGGACCAGCAGAGGCAGAACGACCGTCGGCAGAACACTCAACAGTAGCACCCCTAGAACCAACACCCCCAGAACCAACACCCCCAGAGCGAGAACCCCCTCCAACACCAGCGGCACCCCCAGAAGCCGCACGACGAACACACTCCTCCACACCAGCACCCCCAGGGGCCAAGAGCGGCAGCGGCAGTGGCGGCGACGACAGCGGCGACGGCTGCGGCTGCTGCAGCGGGGTCGGCGACTGCGACAGTGGGGGCGGAGGCACCGAGGAAGGGGGACGCGGCAAGGACAGACCGGGGGTACCACCAGAGTCAGCAGAATCCTCAACGGGGACAACCGACGGGAGGGGAGTGACGTGAGAGACACCAGATGGGGCAGGACGAGGCGGGAGAGGGGCAGGGGCTACCGGGGGAGAGGGAGCAAGGAACAAGGGGGGGGCCACTGGGAGACCTCGGTGAGGGAAGCGGCGGTAGAAGGAGATTGACTCGTCAAAGGTAACGTCATGAGAGTGGAGGAAGCGGTGAGACGGCGGGTGATAGAAAAGCCAGTCAGACGAGTCCAGGGGGAAACCGAGGAAGACACAGGGGACAGTGCGGGCAGTGAGCTTGTCCGTGCCAGAGGCACGAACGTGAGCAAGGCAGCCACAGACGTGGAACGCAGACGCGTCACCGGGGGACCCGGTCCAAAGGAGGGTCGGCGAAACCTGCGGCCGCTGGGAGCGTGGCCACAGGTTAAGCTGGTGAGCAGCGTAGCGAACAGCGAACGGCCACAGAAAATGGGGGGCATCGGCATGGATCATGGAGGTACGGGCGACCTCCATGACCAAGCCAATGTGGCGCTCAGCAACCCCATTCTGCTGTGGTGAGTCCGGCAAGGTGTACGACTGGGTGATGCCCTCCGCACGACAGAACTGTCCAAGCCGACCAGAGGCGAACTCGCCGCCACGGTCGGAGTGGAGACACAACACGGGGAGACCGCGGTGGAGACGCGCAGCCACAACCCACGGGAGAAGAACGTCGGGCACGTCGGCCTTCCGCTCCAGGGGAAACACCGTGGTGTAGCGCGTGTAGTCGTCGACGAGCACAAGGAAATAGCGCTCACCGTGCAGTCCGGGGACGGGGGCAGGGCCCCAAACGTCCAGGTGCAGGGTCTGAAGGGGGGCAGTAGCCGGGCGCAGCGAGGAGGAGTGTGGGGCACGGCGGAGCCGGCCCTCGACGCAAGGCGTGCACGGTGGCGCAGTCGAGGGAGGAAGGGCGGGGAGCCACGCAGGGAGACCTAAGACAAGGCTGTGCTGGGACATGTGACGCAGACGAGGGAGTGCAGGGTGACCTAAGCGGTGGTGCCAGAGAAGGGACGGGTGAGTGAGGGAACGACACGAGCAAGCTGCAGCAACCTGGGAGGACGCACCAACCTGAGGGGAAGCGGTGTCTAGGGTAAACAGACCGGACACCGGGTCCTGGGGGAACGTCGCAAGGGGGGAACCTGAGACAGCCTCAGAACAGACAGCGAACCGCTCGTGCCCGGGGAACGTGGTGGTGACGCCGAGGTCCTGGAGACACCCGACACCAACCAGGTTCCTCGAGAATGAGGGTACGTGGAGGCCTGTAAGGGAGCCCGAGGGAACTGCTGGACAGGGAAGGGACGTAGAACTGCGAGCGACGACAGGACCCGCAGAGGGGTCAGCGAGAGAGACGACAGCTGGCGTAGCAAGCGGCGTGAGCGCAGAACGGTCGCGGAAGAAGCAGGCAGAAGCACCGGAGTCGAGAGTGAAGGACAGCGCAGCAGTGGCGGGGGCAGGGAACGGAGCCGGTGCAGAGACGAGGCTAGACAAACTAGGCAGTCCAACGCCTAACGCAGCAAGGGAGGCTAGGCTACACAACGGTGCAACACCTAAACTAGAGAACACAAGGTAATAAGATCCAGCAACACTAGCAGCGTCAGAATACAAGGCATGCAAAGCAGCACCTATCTGATCCATGTCTAACTCAAAGATCGGCACGCCCTGGCGGAGCAGGCTGTGCCAGTCAGGGAGGTCCGGGGCCAGGCCAAAGCGACGACGAAACAGATCGTCGAGGCGGCGGAAACAGCGGCAGTCGGGTGCGGGCAGCGGCACAGAGTGCTGCGAAGGGGCCCGGTCTGAAGCTGGTACTGACAGGTCACAGCACCGGAGCCGCTGGTAGACGCCAAGCTGCGCGGGCCGGCACCACGGCCACTACCTCCGAGGTGCCGGGCCAACCAGGCAGGAGGCGAGCCCACTACTGCGGGGGCTGCGGCTGGGACGGCGGCTGCTGCTGGGACGGCGGCTGCGGCGCGGGCTGCTCCTGCTGCGGCTGGGGCTGCTGCTCCTGACCACCAATGCTAGTCCCCCCAGACGGACTACTCTCACGACCACCAACACCACTACCTGCGCCACCACCCCTACCACTTTGGCGACCACGGCCACCGCGGCGCGAGCGCTGCTGCGGGTGGACCGCAGCGGCCGTCTCAGTGAGGGGGGTTGCCGTGGCGACCGCAACCGAAACGTCAGTGAACGCGCACTGGGAGGGGGCACAGCCGTGAAAGATAGAGACTGCCGGCGCACTGCTCGACTGAGCGATAGTGCGCTTGCGAGTCTCAATCTCGGTGAGGGTGTCGACAAAGGCAGTGAGGGTGAGGTCAGCCGGGTGCAGGCTAAGGAAGTGATCGCGAGCACTAGCGAGGCGGTCTGGCAGGCGCATGGCGATAAAATAGAGCGTCATGCAGAAAGGGGGGGGGAGCGCAGTGAGCTGGGCAGCAGTGCTGGCAGTGCGATAGCGGGTCTCTAGGGCACGCAGGTGAGTGGCAACGTCTACGACGGTAGGGAAAGCTGCAAGGTCTGGGAAAAGCATAGGGAAGAGCAGGCGACCAGCAGAAGCAGATGCGGGTGTGGAATAGCGGGCAATAACAGCGTCTAAGTAAGCTTTGGCCGTCTCAATAGTAGCAAAACGCGAGCGCTCAGAGACAGGGAGGGCATGGCTAATGGCAACCTGAGCGACTGCATCGCGGGAGTCCCAGACCGCACGGGCAAGCGCAGCAGTAGAGAAGGTCTCACGGTCATCAGAGGAGGGATCAGCAGGGAGGGGAGCAGGTGCGGGGGGGCGGGGGAGCAAGCCGTCGACATGGACAACCAAAGAGTGGCCATCCTGGCGCTGACCTGTAAGGTGGCGGCGGAGATCGGAGAGCCAGGCGGCGAAGTCAACCGCATGGCCCTCGGCGTCCAGTCGGAGCACGAAGTCCGCCATCGTGCAGGGTCAGCGGCACAGCTCCACAGGAACACAGCGACACAGGAACACAGCGACAGCCCCCTCCAGCACGGCGGCCGCGAAGCGCCGCAGCACGGGCGAGCAGAGGAGACGGAGCCTGAGGCGGCACGGCAGGACGAGCCGAGGCGAAGGGGCCAGGCAGGTGCGGTGGGGCCAGGCAGGTGCTGGCGGGTCCAGGCAGGCGCGGAGGGGCCAGGCAGGCGCGGCGGGGCCAGGCAGGGGCAGCGGGGCCAGGAGGCGCGGCAGGGCCAGGCAGGCGCGACGGGCCAGGCAGGGGCGGCGGGGCCAGGAGGCGCGGCAGGGCCAGGCAGGCGCGGCGGGGCCAGGCAGCGCGGCGTGGCCAGGCAGGCGCGGCGGGGCCAGGAGGCGCGGCAGGGCGAGGCAGGCGCGGCGGGGCCAGGAGGCGCGGCAGGGCCAGGCAGGCGCAGCGGGGCCAGGCAGGCGCGGCGGGGCCAGGCAGGCGCGACGGGGCCAGGCAGGCGCGGCGGGGCCAGGCAGGGGCGGCTGGGCCAGGCAGGCGCGACGGGGCCAGGCAGGCGCGGTAGGGCCAGGCAGGGGCAGCGGGGCCAGGAGGCGCGGCAGGGCCAGGCAGGCGCGACGGGGCCAGGTAGCGCGGTGGGGCCAGGTAGGCGCGGCGGGTGCTAGGAGGCACGAGGGGCCCAGGAGGGGCGCGGGTGCTAGGAGGAACGAGGGGCTCAGGAGGGGCGCAACGGGCTAGGAGGCGCGACAGGGGCCCAGGAGGGGCGTGACGGGCTAGGAGGCGCTACAGGGGCCCAGGAGGGGCGCGACGGGCTAGGAGGCACACGGGGCCCAGGAGAGGTGCGACGGGGCCTAGGAGGCATGAGGGGCCCAGGAGGGGCGCGACGGGCTAGGGGGCACGACAGGGGCCCAGGAGGGGCGCGACAGGTTAGGAGGCGCGGCAGGGGCCCTGTAGGGGCGTGACGGGCTAGGAGGCGCGATAGGGGCCCAGGAGGGGCGTGACGGGCTAGGAGGCGCGATAGGGGCCCAGGAGGGGCGCGACGGGTCCTTGGTGGGGGCGGCGCGACGGTGCCTAGGTGAAAGCGCGACGGGGCCTAGGAGGAACGGGCGGAAGCGGTAGGTGGGGGGGGGGGGGGGGGGGGGGGTCGAACCTACGGGTGATACCATGTCGAGAAGAAAACTGAACAAGTGTTGAATAGAGAGAGAGAACAAGGGTATATACCTAAGAGAAATCAGATGAAACATAAAAACCCGGTCTGATTTTCAGACCATCAGACCGATTTGGTCTGATTACGGGAGCCCTGCTCACGATGGGTTTGCCGAATTATCTAGCTCACAAAATATCTAGCTGTAGCACGTCATGTTTAGCCACCCTGGCGTATATGTGCGGATGGTGGCATCCTAGGAAGGCACATGGCTGTATCTGGAAAGCCATACGGTACATGCAAATTCTCGCTATGGACAATCATGCTTCCATCCCAGCGGCCACTCTCGGGCTTCACGTCAGTTGTTCCTCCAAGCTCAAATAAGTTAGTTGAGGCAAGCATGTTCGGGTCGATGCCAGGAGCAATCGTGGCATGCAAAGAAGCCCCATCACCTCCTGGAGCATCATCAGCCGTGCTGGGCCAATGAACAGGCGCCGGGCTCATGAGATCTGGAGAAGGGATACGGGACTCCCACGGAAAGGCAGGGCGTGGTTGTAAGTGCGACGGGGCAGCAGGCATGCGGTATGGTGAAGGGATTAATGGCTTGTGCAGCAAGGCAGGGCCTGGTCGTATGTGTGATCCCCTGGGGATTGAGGGCATGTACTGTGTGCCTGGAGGGTTAGTAATGGTTGCGCCAAGGGCCAGTGGCTGTTGGGAAAGAGCAGACAGGAGAAGCGCCTGTGACGGCACGAGCGCGAACGCCTGTTCCAATGCCTGTGACGGTGCCAGTGCCAATGCCTGTTCTAGAGGCAGTGGATCTGGCAGTGGTTGTGGCCGTGGCAGTGGCCATGGTAGTGGCAGTGGTTGTGGTTGTGGCAGTGGCTCTTGCAGTGGCTGTGGCAGTGGCTCTTGCAGTGGCTGTGGCAGTGGCTCTTGCAGTGGTTGTGGCAGTGGCTGTGGCAGTGGCAGTGGTTGTGGTTGTGGCTGTGGCAGTGGCTCTGGCAGTGGCTCTGGCAGTGGCTCTGGCAGTGGCTCTGGCAGTGGCTCTGGCAGTGGCTCTGGCAGTGGCTCTGGCAGTGGCTCTGGCAGTGGCTCTGGCAGTGGCTCTGGCAGTGGAAGGTGCGACAGCAGCGAGGGAATGCGCACGAGCTCCAGACGCTGCTGCTGGCACCTCTGCGGTGGACTCACTCCTTCCACACTCACTCCTTGTCCCACCGGGTGTTCATGCCTGTGCACCTGAACATCCCCTTCCCCAGTCCCCCCTTGTTCCAGCAACCACTCTGGCAGCATTGGCTCGGGAAGGCAGGCTGCCAGAGGCTGTCCGTGAGGCTCACTGGCCAAGTGCACATGGGGAACACACTCAGCCAGACACAGGTGAGAGGCAGGCGCGTACAGAAGCAGAGGGTCGATTTCATGCACCGCGTTGCATGCGCCCTTGGACGGAACCAGCTCATGTCCCACAGAGCCATTCTCAAAGGAGAGCGCCCCTCCTAAGCAGCTGCTTATATCTCCGGGAACAGAACCAATCAGAGCCGCGAGTTGGGTGGGCAGCGACGCTGGCAGTGCTGCCTGTGGCTGCGTGGAGAGAGTGGCTGGCAGTTGAGCTGGCAGTGGTGCTAGCAGTGGTGCTGGCAGTGGTGCATGCGGCATGCTGTAGCGAGGGCCCTCGCAGCTGGATCCCAGCAGCACATCGTCTGGAAGGGCGCTCTCCGACGCCACGCGAGGCCACACCGCTGAGTGCACATGGCTCCTCTGCCCGTCCTGCTGCAGGAAACGGCCGTCCAAGGACTGCGAGTGGCACAGCGTGCGGTGGGCCCACCCGATCCCAGCCAGACCCCGCAGGGATTGGCTCACCATAAGCCCGCCGCAGTCCCCCCTTGCTCGCTTCATGGGCAACTTGAGGGCAGCAGCCGCATTTGAAAACGCTGCATCGATCACCCCAGCACTGGAGAGTGCAGCGGCATTGGGGAAAGAAGCAGCCCTGGAACCTGCAGCAGCCACAGCAGCGGAGGCGCAAGAAGCGGCACTGGAGACAGCAGCACCAGTGAAGGTGGGAGCAAGTGGGACAGCAGCAGCAGTGGAGGTGGGAGCAAGTGGGACAGCAGCAGCAGTGGAGGTGGGAGCAACTGGGACAGCAGCACCAGTGGAGGTGGGAGCAACTGGGACAGCAGCACCAGTGGAGGTGGGAGCAACTGGGACAGCAGCAGCGGTGGAGAAAGCAGCGGCATGGGAAGCAGTGTCAGGCACGAAGGCAGATGAAGGGTGTGCTTGTGTTGAGGAGAGAGCAGCCGCACACGAAGCAGCGGCAGCGCTGAAGGCAGACACGAGGCTCGCCTGGGCTGTTGGGCGGCGCGCATTGGGTGAGAGGAAGACGCTCCTGCACTCATCAAACGACAGCCCGCCGAAAGTAAGAGCAGGCGATGGCGACCAGGGTGAACCCACGCCAGCCTGCTGCTGCTGCTGCTGCTGCTGCTGGCTATCACGCCTCAGCAGCAACTGGCTGTGCGCGTCCAAGGCTATGTGTTGGGGGAATGCAGCGCCTCCCAGGTGCTGTCGCAGGAGATTCTCCTGAAAGCGTTGGACGAACTTCCTGCCACCGAGCAGAGAGACACGACCACAGAGGAGGGGCTCAGAAAAGGCTCAGCCCCCGCGGAACGCGAAGTAATAGAAAGGAACGTGGCCTGCAGAGTTACCTTCTGAGGAAGATGTAACGGTTACAGCACGACTTGTTGTTTCTCTTCAGCTGACCGCTCCTCCCCAACTCTCCCCACCGCCTCGTGCCGCAATGGAGCGCATGGCGCAGCAGAACCGCGTCCTCCTGCCATGGTGATTGTTTTGTAGGCAATGATGAGGAAAATTGTTGAGTGAGTGTGGAAGCAATGGCGACGCTGAGACTGCGGGGGAAACAACATTGAGAAGAACCAAACCAAGGACGTTGAGCCCCCGAGGACGTGGAGCCCCCGAGGACGTTTGAGCCCCGAGCATGGCCGTGAGCATCGCATTTGAAGGCACAGGGCGAAAGAGCGTGTCTTGAGACACAGGGAGCGCGTGTCTGAGGCGCATTCAACGCGTGTTGAGGCGCGTTCAACGCGTCTCGAGGCGCAGTCAGCGTGTCAGAGACACATCGAGCAGCTATTTCCAGGCGAAAGGCATCTCAGGAGGATAAAATCCGGCGGATCTGACAACAAAGGCTCAGCTGCTCGCAATGAACTTCTCCTAGAAGTCCGCGGGTGACATTGTACGACGTGAAATTTGAGTTGACTCAAAATAGAACCGCTTGAGAGCTTCACCTTGCAGATGTGCATTCCACGGGACTAGTACCGGGCTGAGCGGGACTCACCTCTGCGGACCACGGCTTGACGGCAAGCGACGAGGATTGGGATTCGGACGGCGAAGCGATCCCTTGTGAGGAATGCGGCATGGCGGTCCCAGTATGAAGAAGTTAGGTGATCACCCTACTAGCACGGCATCGCAAAAAAATCAGCCTCCTCGGGAGGAATGAAAGTTGCTGAGAGCAGACGCGGATCTTGCATCGATAATTAGCACTTGGCTTCTCGGGTTGACGTTTTGGCCTTGTGTGGCCGTCTGATGGTACCACCGGCCAACAAGGTCTGAGCACTGCTCTAGGCTTGACGCAGGGTCGGGAACGGCAGAACGTGGGGAGAGATGGCAGGCTGCCAAAACGACGAAACATCCTGAGGCCCAAGTGGCGATAGTTAGCGACAGTGAACGAATGCCAGCCTAGTCGCATGCTCCACTTGGCAGTCTGCTAGTAACTACAAATCGCGATCTCTCGCCCCCCCGTGACGCATCAGCGGTCGTACCAAAATATGATGAACGGCACGTGAAATAGTCCTTCCAGCCATTCTAAGAAACGACTTCCATTTCCGTCAGTCTTCTACAGTGAGGACCAACGAGGAACAGCTCTTGGCTGCCGTTGCCAGCTCAATTCTGTAAATCGTCCAGATCCACAAAATGGAGAAAATGATTATTTCCAGTCTGTTCGTGAGTAGTTTCCTCACCTTCTCCAGGAACAATGAATGACGGGGTCGAGAAGGAAACACCATGCAGGTGCTGTTTTTGCACCACTAAAGCGGAAATGTGTTGTATCTCTGTGCAAGTACAGTTTGTGCCCGAGAGAGGCCCGCCACCTTTCCGAGACGAGACGCGTAGTCTTTTGTCGAGTCGGTATTTCGCCAGCGTTCAACCCTAGCGACGAGGGATTTTTGTTGACCACAATGGTAACATTTTTGGCAGTTGTTTGAACAGTGCGTCATTGAGACCGATTGCAACTCTCCCTTGCATATTTCAAATGAACTTGCAACAAATAATGCACACGCAATACATCATGCACCACGAAATATCCAACAGCCTCGCCACATCAGCGTTACCATATCAGTTGGGTAATGCCAACACCAACATGTTACACATTGCGCCACATCATCAGCCCAGTAGCATGGACTTCACTACCACATACATTGCCACAACTCCTTTCCCAACCACAACTCTTCCCAACCTCTAAAAGAGCGCACCACAGTACAACCCCTGCAGACACAAACTCTGGACTATAACTTATAGTCTACTAGGGGGGCGTTCCACTCGGAATAGTGCGGGATAAGGCTTCTACGACCATTTCATGAATGACATGGGGTTTCTTGGCCGAGCGTAACGTCCGGTTTAAGTATGACAAATAATGTTTATTTACTTTGCTCAAGTCAGTCGGCCTGAGTAAAACAAACCTGCCATGGCTAAACAGTATCAATTAGATTTCCATTCAATGAAACATGCATAAATACCTTTTTTGCGCGATGAGACGCTTGCTATTCCCACCGCAACCTGCCTCGTAGATCGCGACCTCGGTCCGCCGCCGGCTTGGTGGCAATGTGTCATCCATAAGAGTTTTTCGTTTCCAGGTGCATTCTGCCCTCGCTGCTCGCGTTGTGTCGTCCGCTATGCTCGATTTCGGCCGTCCGCTCTGCTTGGTTTTCCGCCTTCCGAATACTCGAGATGGAGGGCGCTGATTTGGAGGCCGACGCCTCCGACGACCTCCTTGAGCCTCTTGTCGGTTGAAAGAATACACCGATTGTCCACTGTACGCCCAGGACTTTGCAAGCTGCGTGGAACTAATGCGCGCACTTATTTCGCGAACCGTCGCACCTAGAAAATGGGACTCGCTAATGAGCGCAGGAGTAACCCGTTTTGGTTTTTCGAGAGGGGGTTGGTGTGGCTTTGCTTGTACTTTGGTTGGCATCATTACCATGTCACTTCCGTAAGATTCCATGATTTGATTCCATGAAGTAACAGCATCTCCTCTTGCAGGACAGAAACAATTCGCAACGACAGCCACATAAGGGACATTCACTTGGATGAACGGCCACGTCGACAAAACATCTGACTCCTGCTTCTCACTGTCACCCAAGCGCAAAAGCCTTTTTGACACATCAGCTTCCCCATATTTTGCTAGCAACATTACACGACTTCCTTATCGCTGTCTCCACCCATCTTACAGACATTACGCACCGCCTGAAACAACCATACATGGCTTACGAAACCTTCACCCCTTCGGCTTCAAATCAAGCCCCACTAAAGAGGTTTGATCGTCATATGCACTAACGCCAAGCTCGCCAGCAGCAGCCAAATCATCATGGGGCAGAGGCGGCATGCGCCGCCTAGATCCCGTGCATGTACTCCGCAGGACCAATGAGCCCGACCATGACAACGCCAATGCCCAAGTCCAAGCTTACGGCGATGTGCGTCGCCCGTAATCGACAACGGGAGGCGGCGGCCATCGCGCCTCTCAGGCGAGTCGCTGCGGGGCAGCATGCTGAGGTCGGGGATCGAGCTGGCCCTCTCTAGACGCTCCACAACCAAGGGGCTGCGGATGTCAAAGAGGGCCAGCAGGAGAGACGAATCTTACGACGTACGGGATGGCAGCACGCGCGGCTCCTCTACGAGCGGATCCGTGCCCGCCTTAGCGCACGTCGGCTGCCCTCGTTGATTAACACGAAGTCCATCGTGGGCATGGCACGGGAGCCGAGCGCGAGAGCGGCAAATCTGATTGCCGATGCCCGCGACGACATCCTCCAGCAACACCTCCGAGTCGTTGTCGGCGACATCCTCCTCGGGGTCGTCGTCGCGCTCAATGGCGGGTAGGATGTCGCACGAGAGCGGCATCTGGGGCACATGCTCCATGTGCGCCTCCCACTCAGCTGGCAAGCATCCGGTGCGCCACCAGTAGCGCTGGATCATCCGGGCGCCAACGGACGACCAGGCCTACCACACCCACTCCACGAACTGCCGCATGTTGGGCCGGAAGTGGGTCATGGCAGCGTAGGCCCCAGTCGCCCCCCAAAGGTGGGTAAGCTCCTGCAGCCACAAGGAGCGATACCTCGCCTTGGTGCAGGCGATGATCCCTTGGTCCAACGCCTGCGTGAAGTAGGTCGTGTTTGGGGCGAGGTATAGGAGGCGGACGTGGGAGAGGCTGTGCGTACGGAAGCTGAAAATTTCCTCCCCCTTTGCCTCGGGCGAGAGCAGGTGGTTACTGGACGTGTTGTCGAGGAGGACAATCACCCGACGCTGCTCCGCAAAGATCGCAGCATTGAGCTGCTCGATGAAATAGGTAAAGAGCTGGGGGGGAGAGGGGTGGCAAACGGGAATGGAAGAATTAGAATAGAGACGTGGCGGTAAATGACAGAAACAAAAATCATGCGGAGAGGAGGAGGTCAAACGGATACGCGTCCATAGTAAGTAACATGGCCGCATCCACCTAAATTTGCGGCCTTACCGAGCTCATCATCCAGCCCCGCTCGTTGATCGTCCAGTAGCAGTAGGGGCTGGGATCGTAGTTCGGACAAATGTCCATGGGGTGGCAGGCTTTCGCGATGATGAGCGGTCGCCAAATGGTTGAGGCGTCAGCGTTGCACAGACTTGCGACAGTGAGGCGCTCCTTTGCGACCTTGTGGCCACCCCAGAAGCGACGCTCCTAGGAACGACGCAGCAATGCCGAGATCAAAAAGGCGGCAAAATTGAGCACGTTCCGGGGCATAATGCCGTAGTTACAGAGCAAATTAGGGAGTTGGGCCTTGCATGTTATAACCGCGCCCAGATCCTAGTCCGTCGCTTCGCCCTTGTGAGTGAGACATCGGATGTTCAGTAGGCGGAGAGCGAGACGGACCCAGCCGAGGGAGCATGTGAAGCTTGCCGGCTTGTTCAGAGCTGAAGCGAACAACATTGCCAGTGCCAGCTTCGATGCCAGTGACGTGCCCGCCGCGTGTACGCCGGTCAGAGGCGATAGCATCATCGGCGCACCAACGAGCCTCGTCGCGGAGTACTTCGCCGATCGTCGAGCAGTCGGGACTAAGCCCGTAGCGGGTGAAGCACGATCGTGCCAAATCTTCCTGCTGCAGATGGTCGTTGAGGCGGCGATGATTGCAAATAGCGCGCTTCATCTCGAGGGGAAGCTGCGCATGACGATGCACTCGTGACATCGTGGCGCTCTTGATGGATGAGGGCGAGAAGTGATGAGTATGGTTTTATGAATCGTTGCACTGTATTAGTACCTCGAAACGTGATGTGTTGCACGACATTGTGGCTTGTAACTTCATGTATGGGGGCGTATTCACACGATTTTTATGCTTTCAAAAATGCCATTTCTAAGGTGGGCTTAGCGTTTCGTTTTGTTGAAAGGCATTTTTACAGTTCGTTAATCTGAATTGTTTACGATCGCGGCGCTTCATTGTGATCGCGCTCTAAGAAGCGGCGCAACTATGTGGCTCCATGTTGGCCAACAAGCATTGCATTTCACCACGTCAATTCTATTCCACATAATTGGTCGTGACGTCTCGAACGTGACTCGGCGAAAATCACGAGAGATTGGCGAAGGTTGGACGACGCGCGTTCGCGACACTTACGAAGATGCCTCCGCGAAGCAACCCGAAGCGCCATGATCACGTCTTCAATCACATGCTCTTCATCGCCGCATCGTAGGTGCCACAGACACCGGGCCGTAAGGCCATCAGGTGAATGGGTCGTTGCTGTGATTTCCACCTACTAGGTGACGGTTGGAGGGAGGGCCTGGCCAATAAGCGAGCGTATGGTGGACCCCGTGTGTACGCCCCCTTTGACAGTAAAGTAACCGCGCATAATCGTTGTGGAGCGTATTGCACATCCTACATTGTTTGTAGGGCGTACTTTTGAGATGCTCACTTTGCATGTCACAAAATCTGATACCAGGTTTTCATTTTCGCGAAACCATATGTGTCCACTTAATGGCCCATTCTCCCGCAGCGAAGGCTCGCGAAATACGTGCGCGCATACGCTCACGCGGTTTGTCTAAATTATGGGCCGCTGGTGCGCACCTGGTGTATCTCGTCGTTCACAAAGGCCGAGGCCAACCCAAAACCGGGACACACTCAAAACGGAGCAGCGAGTGTTCTGTTCAGTGCGCGCCCAGCTGTCAGCGCCAACTGTCAGCGCTCAGCTGAGTTGACCTTGGAAGCAGAATCATCGTTGCATGGACATTGGTGGACCACTCACATGTGAGCGAGCACGAAGTGTCACGCACGCTGTGCTCTCGTTTCTTCTGTCATGTTGGACCAAAGGAATGTATACCTGATTCTGGATACTATGGACTGCTTTACAGGAGACCAAGTTTCTACAGTAGAGGTTGTAATTTCCCTCTGCCTATATCACCCTATGTACAAGAGCACCCACCACATGCTCAGCATGCATTGGTTAGGGTAGCATAAGCAAAGCTGAGTGCAGCCTCATAAGCATGTGCTGGGATGGTGGCATGGCATCCCACGAGGAAGCATTCATACACGTACGAAAAGCTATGTGGTTCATGCGGAATGCTATCGTGTCCCATTTCAAATCACAGTTGCTAATCACGATTTCCGCAAAAGTCACTACCTCGGTTGGCAAAGCATCGGTTATGTTAAGCATCGGAGCAAGCATGTGGTTCATAGGAACTTGCATGCGTGGGTCCTGTGCGATAGCGCACTTTGCACCTTGAGCATTGTTAGTGAAGCCCAAGGCTCTAGCTGACGAGAATGGGGAGATGGCAAAGAGGCCATGACTGCGGTTGCAGTGGTGGGTGGGGCTAAGGCAATGAGGGAATATGAGCATGTGTAAACCACTCAAGACTGTTCACCTGGTAATGCGGCTGGGCAAATGTCCCTAACACCCCCCCAGCTCCATCCCCAACGCCCTCCTCATCCATTCATTGTTCCAGTAGCCACTCCAGAAAGGCTGCCCCATGAAGGGAGGCTGTCAGCGGCCGTCCCTGAAACTCACTTGCCAAGGGTACACAGGGGCTCGCACCAAGGGGGCCACTCCCAGCCGGCAACAGGTGAGACACAGGCGTGTCGAGAAATGAGGGTCACTGTCATGCCCGCCGTTGCACGTGTCAGTAGACGGGGCCAGCTCCGGCCCTCCAATACTTGCATTGGTGAGGGACGACCGCCCGCGGCAGTTGCTCATTCCCCCGGGAAAGGAACCAGCCAGAGCAGGGATTTGGTTGTGCAGCGGTGCTGACAGTGCTGCTGAAGTTGCTGCACTTGCGGCGAAATCGCTGCAAGGCGACACCACTCTCCTCCTCTTCCCCTCGATCTGTCGATGCTCCTCCAGCTGCCGATGCTCCTGCATCAACAGACCATCCAGGTGGCCTGTTTCCGACAGCACCTGAGGCCACAACAGCCGCTGCTGCCAGCTCATCTCCCTCCCCTGCCGCACACACCGCTCGTCCCAAGCCTCAGAGTGCCCAATCGCTTGGTCGGCACACCCATCCTCAGCTCCCCCATGCAGGGGCAGATTCCCCAATAGCCCGCTCCACGCCTCTCTTGCTCGCTTCAAGGGCAGGCCGAAGGCACCTGAGCCGGTGAAAGAGGCGCCCTTCATCACTGCAGCGGCATCACAGGCAGCAGCAGCAGTGGAGAGCAGAGCGGCGTTGGCGAAATGTGGGGCATTGGTCATCAAGGCCTTTGGCAGCTGCATGCGGCGTGCAGCACTGACGATGGCCGCAATGGTGGCAGCAGTGGTGGCAGCAGTGGTGGCAGCCGCAGGGCTGAAGACGGGGGCAGCATTGGAAGCAGCAGCAGGGGCCCATGCAGGCAACAGACTCGCTGCTGTTGGGCGGCAGGCATTGGGCGAGAGGAAGACGCTCCTGCACTCATCAAACGACAGCCCACCGAAAGTAAGAGCAGGCGATGGTGACCCGGGTGAACCCATGCCAGCCTCCTCCTGCTGCTGCTGCTGCTGCTGCTGCTGCTGCTGCTCTTGGTGCTGCTCTTGCTGCTGCTCTTGCTGCTGCTGGCATTGCCGTGGCGACTGATTATAGCTCTCCATTGCAATGTGCCAGGGGCGTGCACTGCTGTGCAAGTGCTTGCTCAGAAGGTTCTGCTGAAGGCGTTGCATGAACTTCCTGCCACCAACACACAGCCGCAGAAAAATGCTTTAGAAAAAGCGGAGCCATTTTGGACACTCTGAACTCGGAAAGTGAATGTGGTATGCAAGGGTTACCTTCTGAGGAGGATGTAACGGTTACAACACGACTTGTTATTTCTCTTCAGCTGACCGCTCCCCCCCAACTCTCCCCACCGCCTCGTGCCGCAATGCAGTGCATGGCGCAGCAGAACCGCGTCCTCCTGCGGTGAGTGGGTAAGTGGGCAGGCAATGATGGGGCAACGTTGAGAAAGAATCGCATGAGGGCGCGAATTCCTGATCCGGGAACACGGGAGAAGGCCGCTTTGAGAAGAATCAGGCGAAAGGGAGTGTAGATTCCGACGGCTGCGTTGAAAGCACCACAAGACCACAAGACCACAGACCACAAGACCACAAGACCACAAGACCACAGACCACAAGACCACACACCACAAGACCACAAGACCACAGACCACAAGACCACAAGACCACAAGACCACAGACCACAGACCACAAGACCACAGACCACAGACCACAAGACCACGTTGCACGTGTCCCAGAAAGCGTTCCAAGGGCGCTGGACTTGCCAAAACATCTGTCTTGGAACGGAATGTCGAATATGCAGAGGGTAGGTTTTTCTGGGCAGCGTAAACCTCTCTCCACCCACCTCTCTCCATCCACCTCTCTCCATCCACCTCTCTCCATCCACTTCTCTCCATCCACCATTGACCTCTGCATTCACCTCTCCATTCACCTCTCCCATTCACCTCTCCCATTCACCTCTCCATTCACCTCTCCCATCCACCTCTGCATTCACCTCTGCATTCACCTCTCCATTCACCTCTCCATTCACCTCTCCATTCACCTCTGCATTCACCTCTCCATTCACCTCTCCATTCACCTCTCCATTCACCTCTCCATTCACCTCTCCCATCCACCCTTGCATTCGCCTCTCCATTCACCTCTGCATTCACCTCTCCATTCACCTCTGCATTCACCTCTCCATTCACCTCTGCATTCACCTCTCCATTCACCTCTGCATTCACCTCTCCATTCACCTCTGCATTCACCTCTCCATTCACCTCTGCATTCACCTCTCCATTCACCTCTGCATTCACCTCTCCATTCACCTCTCCATTCACCTCTCCATTCACCTCTGCATTCACCTCTCCATTCACCTCTGCATTCACCTCTGCATTCCCCTCTGCATTCCCCTCTGCATTCACCTCTGCATTCCCCTCTCTCATGATCGACAGTTTACGGGGACCATCTGATCGCCGCGACTCACCCCGCGGGACTCAACTCTCGTGACTCACCCCCCCGGACTCCCGGGACTCACCTCTGGGGACCACGGCTTAATGGCGACCGGGTAGGACGGGGATGCCGAACCGACTGCTTCTGAGGAACGCGGCATGGCGGTCGCAGACCAACTTGGTTGAACCAGACTGGCGTTGCTTAAAGACGTCAAATTCTTGAACTTTGAACTCTCCCTAAGAGAATTTGACCTCGGAGTGACTCAATAGCGGAAGGACTGAGTCGAGATATTATCGGAACTCGCCGCCCGGGAGACGCCTAAACTAAAATCATCGGACGAGGGCTTCACAAGACGGTCATTCTTCGTAAAGTAAAACTGACGCGAAATTTCAGCCGAACATCCTCGGGCTTGCACGCTGACCCACTGACTCCGCAGCTTTCCCGCCGCCTCCGCAAGGGGCGAATGCGCCCGCGCACACGGTGGGACATGGGCTGGGGGGGGCTTGATGGGGTTGAAGGGGTGAGGGTGGTGGGGTTGCCTTGGCTGCTTTGGCTGCTTTTGCCGATTGCTGAGTTGGCCACCGATTTTACGACGGTATTGGCGGGCGGGATTGTCGCGACCTCCTTCTGCTCGTCGCACGTCGTAAACGACGTCGCACGGCGTCAAACGTCGCATGTCGCCAGCCCGCAACGTCCTTCAAGAAACGACACGAATAGGAAAAGCCTATGGGAGGTTAGGGCACGACGAATGCTGTAGACTGTACATGTAAGTATCCCGATCTCTCAATCTCCTGCGATGTCGCCGCATCCATGATCCTTGAGCACGGGGGTCGGCATGTGACGTGACGTCACCTGCGCCCCGAAGGAGTAGTCCCGCCATGCCAGACATTGCAGCTGAGGTACACGTGAGGCCCGGAGAGTCAGGAATCGGGACCGCGCAGAACGCCATTGGCAGCAACTGTGAGTTTACGACGCGGCAAGGAGCTGATGTGGTGGTTGTTTCAACAACTGCGATCTGGATGGTCAAGGAAATGAGGAACTAATGATGGCTGCTTGCGCGTGCGCTGCTTGGTGTAGCTGGCGCCAGCGGAGCAGCAAACGAGGCTGATGATGACAGCCCTACAGCATGCACACGCGTGAAGGGTTGGCTTGCACGCACTCCAAGGATCACCTCACCACCACTTCCCCGGTGTGATAAATTACTCGTAAGTCTCCTTAACCAAGCCTTCTTTTATTAACTTAGGCATCTTATTACAACTCACCACTAAGTTCGAAACTTAAGTCAAGTTGGGTACAAGAACTTTGGGTGAAGACATATTGAGATGGAATCTAGTGGGGGGGAGCGTACACTGTTCAAGTGAAAGTATGTCTAGAACAAGGCATACAAGGGAATATAACCTAATGGGTTGTACTCCCTAAGGCACAACCCTATATAGTCTACAGAAACATACAATACATGTTTGACACACCCCCTAGACTGGATAGGGGCAGTGCCCGATGGGAGAGAAACAGCTCAGGGTGGCACTACTAGTCCAGCCTCTGAGGCAGGGGTCTAAAGACCAATCAAACTGTTGTGATAGTTGAAGTTTTGCATTCCTGCAAGTTCCGTTTTTTGTATAACTAGCAGTATCGCGTTTCTCAGTAAGCATCCATGCCCGAGTGCTGATGTCAGCAAAACATTGCGGGTGTCGGGGATGACGCCAGCATACCGCTTCAGTTACGCGAATAGGCGTAACGAACCGTTTTCAGTCACGCGAACAGTCGCGACCCTATAGAATGACGAATAGGTCGCATAGCGCGCAACTAGCCGAACAGGTACTTTCCTAGAGCTATAAATCCTTGTAATGCCTTTCTATTATGAACCTTAACTTTACACAGAATTATGTGCTCAGGTTATTCAACCTTCGACTACCCACAAGTTCATGTGCTCAGGTTCACTCTGATAAGACTTCCGCTGTCTTACTAGTCTACCATTCCATTAAAGATCCTTGGTTAAGTACTCGTGCCCGCATATTCTATACTTAGTCACCTGCAACACCTGTCAAATTATTTCACAAACAAGTACAGACAAGGCAAGAGCAAGACCAGGTTGGCACGACTAGTGCAGAGTTTACTGCTATAACGGGAGCTTCTGCGGAAGTGCCTGACGCAGATAGAGCTCTCTAGCTCTGTCGTTCTCTAAGGAGAAAATTGCCTTCAGAATTGTGTGATTTACTGAGTAGCTTTTGAGAAAGCTTGGGCACACAAATTCACTATAATCAATATTACAAAGTATGAACACGGAGAGAACGTTCGCACGAGAACGTTTACATAATTACTTTAAGCTACGCTTAGCCAAGTCAGCAATGGCAGGTGAAAATTACAGCACATGCTTAGGTGGTAATTTTTACCCACTCACAAGTAGTTATTTTAACAGTTTCAGATATGAAACTGTCAGATGTTACGCACATTTCCGCAGTAACGAAATGTGCGCTACGTGTTCAATTTCTCAATGTCGCAGGTAGATTTTGCCGTTTTTCGGTTCAGATCGGTTCTGTGGTTAACTTACGAAATCGCAAATTTCTCGCGATTTCGGAACGTCACCTTCATCAGAAAAACGAAGTCCCCGTTTTTCTGTCGAAGGGGTCGCTCGCATAAGCGAAGTCCGAGATGACTCTCTGCCGCGCTTCTGCCGAATTTCGTCTCTGCCGAGGGGGTCGACAACAGAAGAGATGGCCGAATTGCCTTTCTGCCGAAGAACGCAATTCTGCACGAACAGGTTCTTGCGCCACTCTGCCCGAGGTCCTGTTGGAACGTATTTCCGAGAGTCGTTTCTGCCGTGAGGGTCGCCTGCAGAAATATCTTCTGCGCGATACTTCGGCAGAGGACAACCCATCTGCGAATGACCCCTGATGCCGATTCGGCAAAGGGTCTTATACACTCTCGATTCTGTCGATACCACTTCTACAAAAGCACATGTCGATGTAGAAGCCATTTGTAGAAAAGGCGCTCCTGTTCTGCCACTACGAGCCTCGCCTTGTCGACGAATCTGTTATTCGTCGATGGGCCTTTCTGTAGGGCTCGTGTCCGCAGACTTCGTCGATATGCCGCTTCAGCAGACTTCTGCAACCTTCGCATGATCAGGGCTATTCTCAACAACTAGACCAGCCACAAGGAAGAGGCCACAAGGCCAGTCACGGTAATATATATAAAGGTCTATACACAATCAAGGTCCTAGCAAGTGAGAGGCTACAGGAACGAGACCTAGCTGTATACAGTGCCGCTGATGATCTTTAGGCGCAAGCGCCTTAGTAAAGATATCAGCTGTGTTGGCACCTGAGGCCAAGTGTACTACACGAGCCTGGCGACGCTGCTGCAGCTCACTCAAGAGGAAGTAACGAAGCTGGATGTGCTTCGATATGCCCTCAAGTCGTGGCTCCTAACACAGGAGGATCATGACCCTGTTGTCAGCATACAGAACCGGGACAGAGCTAGGCCGCTCACCCAAGTCGGTGAGCAAGAAGGTCAGTCAGCGGAGCTCCTGTGCCGCCATGGCACCTGCGTAGATCTCAGCCTCATAGCTAGACTGGGCAACAGACGAGGAACAGGTGGACCTCCACGAGATGGCACCTGCACCAAGGCTAAAGGAGTAGCCCTGTGAGGATCTGAGATTCTCGGCGTCGTCTGCCCAAGAAGTGTTTGTATACCCGGTAAGGACCACTGGTCTCCGTCCTCCTAGCACTAGCCCCATGCCCGGTACTTGCTAGATATCGCAAAACCCTCTTAGCTGCCGACCAGTGCTGTGGTCGGTGCCTGCCTGGGGCCACAAAGTGAGCCTAGATGCTGAGAGGATATGCGAGATCTGTACGAGTGCAAGTCATCAGGTACCGTACATGAGGCAACCCACCAGCTCTGCGTAGGGACCACTAGGCTCTACAGCCTCCTCAGGGACTCGAGCAGAGAGTCTGTGGTCTACTGACAGAGGGGTGGCTGTGCGGAAGAGAACTGAAGGCCGAACCTCTGAAGGACCTGGCGCACCAAGTGTGACTGTGAGAGAGTGATGGTGCGCGCTGCTCTGTCCCTAAAGATCTGCAAGCCAAGGTAGCGGCGCAGCTCTCCTAGGTCAGTGCAGGTGTGGCTCCTCAGCAGCTCAGCCTTCACGGCGGCCAGTGCGTCTCTGTCTGCAGTAGCAAAGACCAGATCGTCTACGTAGACAAGGATGTAGAACGAAGTCTGGCCGGAACCGACATGGAGCGAGGGGTCCGCAGACGAAGGGAAGAACTTCAAGTCAACAAGTGTAGCACGCAGCGTGTCGTGCCACTCACGGGGTGCATGTCGCAAGCCGTAGACGAGGTGCCGGAGGAGCTACTCAGTGTCAGGGGGGAAGGTACCGGAGAAGCCCTCGGGGCGGCGCTGGTAGACCTGCTCGTGTAGACTGCCCAGGAGGAAAGCTGTGGAGAAGTCGAGGGAGTGGAGCTCGTAGTCACGCAGTGCTACTACGTGTAGCAGCGCCCGAAGAGTGGTCATCTTCGGGGTCGGGGCGAAGGTCTGAAAGAAGTCCAACCCCTCACGCTGACTGAAGTCGCGAATGACGTAGCGCGCTTTGAAGACATGCGGCTCTTCAGGAGGGCGCTTCACCTTGAAGAGCCACCGGCCATCGACTACGTTCACCCAAGGTGGGGGAACTACGTCGACGGAGGTACCGATGGATCTCCAAGATGCCATCTCCTGCTCCATGGCAGCTATTAACTGAGAGGCCCAGGGTCCCGAGGTGGCCTCAACGTAGGTGCGAGGAGTCGGGGTGTCAAGGGCGTCTGGGTCACCCTCAGGGACAAGTAGCATGGAACAGAGGGGGAGCAGCCTCAGACAGGAAAGCGAGCTCAGACTGCCTCTCCGTTAGGACGTCACTGCCAAGAACAGCCACACCCCCGACGGGCGGAGGGCAGGCACGGTCAGAGACCAGAGCGGTGGCATAGTCTAGGCGGCGGGTAGCAGCGAAGTCAGTGACAGCAGCGACAAGAGCCGACAGACTCGAGACAAGAACGGACGGGTCCATAACGAGAGAGGCAACGACACGAGGAACAAGGGAACGCGTAGCACGGGGGAAGTTTGGCAGCGGAGGCGGGGCCATAGCAAGCAACGACGGAAGAGGAGACGGGAGGAGAGGAGGAGCACGAGACGCGTGAGAGCGAAGCAACATAGGGTGAGAACGCGGAACAAGGGAGGTAGGAGGAGCACAAGACGGACGACGAGACCAGACGTGAGACAGAGGAGTCGGGTCAGGAGAGAGGGGAGGAGACACAGGAGGAGAACGGGGAGGGAAACAAGCCGGGGAGGAGTCCGGGCCGTTAACCGGCAGAGGAGGAGGCGGTGGCAGCGGGGGAGGCAGCAATGGGCGGTTGAGGGAAGGGAGACCAAGGAGGCAAAGAGCGGACATCAGCGGCGACAGTTGCGACTGCTGCCCGAATCCAACACCAGAACCTCCAGCAACAACACGGCTCGGCCTTCACGGAGGCCAGCGCGCCTCTGTCTGCAGTAGCAAGGACCAGGTCGTCTACGTCGACAAGGATGTAGAACGTAGTCAGTCCGGAACGTACGAAGAGCGAGGGGTCTGCAGACGACGGGAAGAACTGCAGGTCAGCAAGTGTAGCACGCAGCGTGTCGTGCCACTCACGGGGCGCCTGGCACAAGCCGTAGACGGGGCGTCGGAGGAGCCACTCGGTACTAGGAGGAAAGGTACAGGAGAAGCCCTCGGGGCGGCGCAGGTAGATCTGCTCGTGTAGACTGCCGTGGAGGAAAGCAATAGAGAATTCAAGGGAGTGGAGCTCATAGTCACGCAGTGCTGCTACGTGTAGCAGTGCCCGAAGAGTAGTCATCTTCGAGGTCGGGGCGAAGGTCTGGAAGAAGTCCACCACCTCACGCTGACTGAAGTCGCGAGCAACGTAGCGCGCCTTGAATACAGGCGGCTCTTCAGGAGGGCGCTTCACCTTGAAGAGCCACCGGCCATCGACTACGTTTACCCCATGTGTG